GTTTTTTAATTAATGATGAAATATGGGTAGTACAGGAGTTGAGATTTGAAAGGGGATTCTAGTCCATTTCAAAATGTTAAACAGATTTGTTTCAGACTTTAAAGAGTTAAATGTTGTTCGAGAGATTGTGGGTGTGGGTGTGGGTGTGGGTGTGGGTGTGGGTGTGGGTGTGGGTGTGGGTGTGGGTGTGGGTGTGGGGAGGGTGTGAAAGTGTGGGTACCGTTATTTTCGGCAATCATACCAACACCCACACCCACAGAATTTAACTTGAGTTGAGTTGTGAGATATGATAGGTGTGTGTATGTGTATTTATCATGAAGATAAGAACAGGAGTAGAACACACACGCTTTCTGGTAAACTAACGTACTTTCACGCCGTTATTGCTCTGAGAAAAAGGATGAAATCTGTAGAGGTGTACAGGCGTTATGAAAACAACAATTTAATGACGTCAGACTGTAATACTACTCTTTCTACTAGTGCAATGAGATAGATGACTTCATGATCAACACAACAAAACCACATTTTAACAATTAAGTACGAATGAGACCAAGATTTGACCTGCTTTTCGACAATCTCAAAACTGCGCGGCCACGCAAATATTATGAAGCACTTCGACGGCTTTGATCAATGTAAATTACCAATTTTCTATTTTTTGGAAGCTTTTGCCTCTTGTTTTACTGGTAAAATTTTGATACCTCTCTCCGTCTCACTCCTATAGAAGTACTGTCATGTTGATTTACGCCTTGTTTTTCGGAGTTTTTGTGCTTGACAGAGGTGTCGGTATATTATGCTACTTTGCTCTATCATCTGTTTCAAAAGAGCACCACGGTTAGAAGTATCATAAACAAAATTGCTGTCACCAATAAACAAAGAGCTGCGAGGTAAAGCCGGCAGTGCCAGTGATGTTGGTCGTTCTGTAAAGCTGGTTCTGCCATAGGACTGACCCTGAAAGAACATAAGATAAAGAGTGGAAAACCTCTTGAACGAAAGGTAAATCTACTCACTCGTTGCTGTCATTATCAGTGATGAGCAGCATTATCTTTTCTCCACTTTGACTGTGCAATAATAGAGTGCTTTGCTTCTGATAATCCCTAGGTAACCTAAAAGGGCGTCTCTGACCCACATCATACTTCTCTTGAAACTGGCGTAAATTCAGTTCATGCTGGAATGCTAAATCAGGAATCGGTTTATATCTTGTATACATCATGATCAATTTTTGAAATATTTCAGTCATCGTGCGAATTGTCGGCTCCACAAAACAAGAGTCCGCTTCTAGCTCATCAAGAAATGCTCTGAGCAGCGTAAGGGCATTTTCATAAGCACCAGTAGCTTCATCATAGTCACCGACATCTGATGCAACTTCGGCGATCTTCTTCAGATTTTCTGCCACAGTGTCTTTGTCTCGATCTTGGTTCATCGTTTCGATGTACAGCTTTGTGTATTTTATAAACATTCTTCCATCATGTTGTGCTCCTCCTTAGCAAGCTGCAACTTCATATCGTAACAATGACTTAACTCGTAGTACAACTTTTTCATTTCCCATTTGCTCATTACCGACTGGTTTGATGCTACTGCTTTCTCGTAGTTACTGATTGCTAACTTGAAATGAACTAGAGCTCTATTTGAGTCTCTCATAGATGAGTCGAAGCGAAAGCAGAAGTTATCAGCGAGCTCGTAGTGTATTGCTCCCAGTTGATAGGGCACGTTTAGTTGCTGCTGATGCTGTTGGTCATCTTCAAGGTACTGTGACCACGCCTCTATCGCAGATTCGTAGTTTGGCAGGCATGCAGTTAATTTCTGCGGCCTATTCGAGTGATACATAGCATATGCGTGACTTCGAGTCGCTGACAGCCATCCGACTTCTCTCGGATACATGGCAGAGAGTTCCGGAAAAATAATTTCAACATCATCGAGAAGAGCAACTGTGCTCGTCATCAGGAATGGTATTATATTCGCACACCTTCTTAAATTCAGTCTCTCATCGGTGGTCGTCAGCTCATCATCTTTAATGTCTGTCGTATGATCTTCAGACAGCTGAAGCTTTATAACCCAAATGTTTTCCTTCTCGTCGAAACTAATTGAATCCGGCTTTATGGTAAACTGTGTAGCAGGCATAAAAATAATTTCTTCTTCAATGGGAAACTCGCTCAAGCAGCTTATGTCGGCAAATGGAGAAGTCTTCAGGTTCATATCGGTCTCAATTTCAAAGAGAACATTTTGTATGTCGCTCTCCGGTTTTGCATCCATTTTTCTATAGATCAGAGCATAATTGCGATACAACGTGGTAGAGAACAGACTGGTATTGATAACTACTCTAGACGATTCAGTTGGTAGAAATTGCTTAAGTTTACTTATTTCTTTGCGGGACATCAACTGGCCGCGGTAGGTGGTGAACGTTCTCGGCTTAGTGTGTTTCTGCTCAGTATGTAAGTGCTTCAGTTGTCGATGAAGGTCTCGCAGGAAAAACCCATACAACAATATCAACTCAGTCTGGCGTTGCCTTAAAGCACGGTTCAAAGCGCTATACAGAAACCCTTCACGAGTATACCACTGAATTGCAGTATCTGGCGTGTAAGATTTGTCAAAATTTTCGAGAAATCTCAGTTTCGTCGAATCGTCTTTGTAATAGGTTTTCAGTGTGAAGACAAAATGATGCTGAGCATCAGCTGGATACGGCAGATAGATATAGAAGTCGGCCAGCATTGACGAGTAGGAGCGTCCCACATCCATACTATGATCTGCGACTTGTTCCTTCCTTTCGAATGTAACAACTTCTTCGTCATGTCGACTTCCTCCAGAATCTTTGGATAGATCACTGAGCAAGTGATCCATGCTGTCGTAAATTTATTTCATCTAGAAGAAAAAGCGTTTTACTGTTGAAAAAGGAAGCAGATCGTTTGTACAGCTTACTTTCGAGTGATTCTTTTCATTCCTCACCCCAGTTGGGGAGTGACTGTGGCTGTGTGGGGTGGGTGTGGATGTGGATGATTTGAAGATCTGTTCTCACATCCATCCCCACCCCATACCCACACCCACCCTCATGTTGTTAGCTTATATACTGAACACATATTAGAGAATGACTATTTTGTGTAAATTAGTCACCAATTGCCTAGTTTTCCTAGTGTTCGAGATGATTTCCGGTAAGCAATGCGGAGAATGAGAATCAAAATATCTTCTTTTGCTTGAAAACAATGATATAAACATTTCTCTGTACTTCCACAGTAAATGTATGAATATGAGGAAAGCTGAAAAATCATATTAAAGATGCATTGCTCTTGTAGCACTCTTGTGAGTGGACAGGCATAGTTGTCGTAGTCAGACGTAATTGTACTTTGTAGCTTTGTGGTGTGACTATGTTTTTGATATTATGGTACTGGACAAAATGAGTTACCGATCGTACCTTGTAACTGAAATGGAATCTACCGGCTACGAACTATATTCTGTTGTCTTGATGAAAAAATTAGAACAATAGTACCGAATCGTACGAAAAACTGCACCTGTACTTGGAGATCACTTTCGAGAATAATTATTAGCAGGAACTGATTTCTTTCACATGGGTTCTCATCGAGCGTATTTCACCGAGGATTGCACGGTTCGACTAACGAAAATTCTAATGATCTACCTCTTTTTGTCGACGAACACTAAAGAAAAATGGTTCTGTTTTCTTCTCTCAGTCTGTTTTACAGTTTGCATAAGATAAGATAATAACTATTACATAGGGCACTACAAAAGTTTTTTCATACAGCTCTTCTAGAAATGGTAATTTGAGGACATCTATTCTGCTATAAAATTTAAACATATTTATGACTATGTGCAAAATTTCAGCCGTCCACGCATTACCCATCGTAGTACTTTTTCTTTTTTTTTCATGTCACCCTCGCATCACTTTCGACATGAGTTTTCATCTCTCACGTGAACAATTTCGCACTATGATTTTATATGATTGGAAAATTGGCTTAACATACAAGGATAGCCATGCCCGTTTGGTGCAAGCATGGGGGAGGAAGCATCTTCTGATCACACAGTCTTCAATTGGTTTCGTGAATTTCAACGCGATAATTTTAGTGTTCAAGATGCTCCGCGTTCAGGTCGTCCTTCAACATCTGTTAATGAACAAACAATTGATGCTGTACGAAAAAGAATTGAAGATGATCCTCATTCAACGTATCAGCAAATAGAAAACATATTGGGTATCAGTTCCACAGCAATTAATTCGATTATTCATGATTATTTAAATCTAAGAAAAGTTTGTGCTCGGTGGGTACCGCATAAACTAATCGACGACCAAAAACAGCTGCGAATTCAATTTTACCACCATTCGCTAAAGAGATTTGAAGAAGGTCAGTCTCGTTGTGTATTTGACATTATAACTGGTGATGAATCTTGGTTCTACCATTATGATCCCGAATTAAAAGAACAATCAAAAGTTTGG